ACACACACACACACACACACACACACACACACACACACACACACACACACACACACACACAAACTCATTGTGAGCGTTAAATTACAAATGAACTACGTCACTCAGGGAGTTGAGGGGTTTTATCTTGGAAAACTGATGCTTTTATTGTGAAAACCCTGTTATAATCTGAGGGGTTTACCTTGACTCTGAGCTCCTTCAGGGGCGGAGGCAGCAGCAGCCCTCTGATCTGCGTTACGATTGGTCCTTCCACCCCCGGGACGATGATGGTCTCTCCCTCCCGCAGACGACCATTGATGAGGATGACGTCTATCGTCGTTCCCATCCCCGGCAGAGCTTTCACCTGAACGCACCGAGAAACGACCTTCAGCTGCAGCTGTGTCCACTCACACCGAGGACTCCGAAAATATTGAAAATATTAAGACGCACCTCCATGACCTGCGCTCGCAGCTCGTCACAGTGTGCTAGCCGCCGGGCTAACATGGTCTGTGTGAGGTCGACCAGCAGCGCGATGAGATTCCCCATCCCGTCGCCGCTGTGGGCAGACGTGGGGATCAAAGACACGAACGTGCGGGGGTCTTTGTTCTCGTAGAACAGGGCGGCATTCAGACCCTGAGGAACACAAACACACACGACGTTGAGTGAGGAGGAAACATGAACAATGGTGTTCCTCAGGGATCGATGTCAGAGCCACTTTCATCCGCTGAAAAACTCTTTGAAATATTAGAATTTGTTGACGCAAGAATCTGTAAAATCCTGTGGATAAAAAAAATAAAGAGCAAAGAGTTATTTTATCACTGTCCCCGAGTGATGATGTCACAACGCTCACCTGCTGAGCGAACTCCACGATGACAGCCTTGGCTCTCTCGTCGAACTCGTCCTTTGTGTTCTTCTTCTGCTTCTTCAGCGTGGTCACGACGTCGGTTTCCGGACTCTTCTTCCAGTCGTACAGACGGTCAACCTGGTGACGACGACAACGCAGTTAGAAAACAGGAAGGAGAGAACAGGAAGAGGTGGAACACAGCCGGCGGACAACGCGTGGCGCACCTTGTTGAGGGCGACGATGAACGGGCACTTCTTCTCCTTCAGCAGGTTGATGGACTCGAGTGTCTGAGGCTCCAGGCCGTGCATGATGTCCACCACCAGAATGGCGATGTCGCACAGGGAACTGCCTCTGTTCCTCAGGTTACTATGGAAACAAAGAGGTGGAGCAACCAGCTTTAATAACTGCAGGACGACTGATCCGGTGACTCCAGGTTTTCCAGGTCGTTACCTGAAGGACTCGTGTCCTGGTGTGTCGATGATCAACATGCCAGGGATCCTGATGCTTTCTGTGTCGAACTACACACACACACAACTCAGGTTAGTTTAACTGTGTGTGTGTGTGTGTGTGTGTGTGTGTGTGTGTGTGTGTGTGTGTGTGTGTGTGTGCGCTTGCCGTACATTTTTAACCATCTTTGTCTGCTCCTCGATCGTCTCCTTCGGGACGTTTGTGGCTCCGATCTGCTGAGTGATTCCTCCGGCTTCACCGTCCTGGACGTTAGTGTGTCGCAGCTGCACACAGACAGACACACACACACACACACACACAGACACACACACACACACACACACACACACACACACACACACACACACACACACACACACAGACAGACACACACAGACAGGCAGACAGACAGACAGACACAGTTAGTGAAGACCTGCACATGAACAGTGAACCGGGTGTAAACAGTCAGTAAACGTTACCTTGTCCAGGATCTTGGTCTTCCCCGTGTCAACGTGTCCGAGCACACACACCACCGGCGCTCTCAGCGTGTCCACGTCGATGTTCCTCATGTTCTCCGCCCTCCGTTTCTATGGCGACACACAGAGCAGTTCAGTCAGAGACGGGTGAAGAGAGGCAAGGTCTCACTCCTCCTGAGTTCACGTTGCTCTCACCTCTATTCTCCTCTTAGCTCTGTCGTACAGTCGCTCCTCCTTCGTCCTCCCGTCGTCGTCCTCGCTCTCGCTGCTCTCGTCCTCGCTCTCCTTCTTCTTTCCCTGAGTCGCTGTCGGCCGAGTTGCTGTCATCGTCTCCTTCTCCTCGTCGCCCTCGCTCTCCTCCTCATCGTCTTCATCCTCGTCTTCCTCATCCTCCTCCTCGTCTTCGTCCTCCTCGCTGCCCGTTGGCTGAGGAGGTGCAGCAGTGTCCTCCTTCACCTCGATGTGAACTTTCTTCAGCTCTGATAGAAAATCATGTCTATGTCACATGTGTATTTGTTGTGTGTAAAACCTGTAAGTGAATCACGTGGCGTGTGTCTCAGGAGACTTGTGATTGGTTTGTTTCTCTCCTCACCTTTCTCCTCGTCGCTGGCGATGGCCTCCCAGTCGTCGACAGCAGCGTCTGGTTTCACCTCTGAACCCAAAGACAAACAGGAGAACCAATCAGATCTGACCTCCTCTTCCTCACTGTTCCTCCTCCTCCTCTCTTACACCCGAGAGTCTCACCTGGCTCCGCCGCCGGCGTCTCGGCCGGCGTCTCCTTGGCCGGCGTCTCCTTGGCAACAGGCTCTGGAGTCGCTGACGTCGGCGATGTGACCTCAGATGTTTCTGGAAAGAAGTTTGTTTTTGTTACGTGTTCCTGTGACGGACGGAGCTGAGCCGCGGCAGCGTTTGTGTTTTACCTTCAGGTGTCGGAGTGTTGAGCGTCTTCTTCTTCTTCTTGTCTCCATAAACTGGTTTCTTCTTTGGCGCAGAGTCTTTGGACGGAACCTCAACACCTGAACAACGACAAACAGACTCATCTTTTATTTCCTGTCTTTTATGTTGCCTCGCTTCCTGTTATTGTTTTTCAGACTTTTATTTTGTCAAGCACTGACCGACAGCGAAGAATAAAAATGTCTTTAAACAAATAAATCAAATCAGGTTTTTATAAACTTTCGGTCAGCAGCTGATCGGTGGACGACCTCTGACCCTGAGCCTGCAGCAGCTTCAGCGTGGCCTCGGCTCGAGCTCGAGCGTCTTTCTGAGCTTTCGTCAACAGCTTCCCCTCCTTCTTCAGTCGCTCCTTCCTCTCCTTCTCCTTCTGCTTCTTCTTCTCCTTACGCTCCAGCTCCAGACGCTCCTGACGAGGGAAGGGACAGGGTCAGAGAGGGGGCTGATGGGTAATAGAAGACAAGCGGAGGACGAGGTGTTTTACCTGCTCCTGTCGTTGTTTCTCCAGCTCCTCCAGCCTCTTCAGTTGCTCCTCCTCTTCTCTCTTCGCTCGTTCTTCCTCCTGCAACGACATCACGTTTATTCACGCACGTCAAACCCTCTTAAGTGACTTTATTTCCCAGAATGCACCCACCTCCTTCATCTTGGCCAGAGCCTCCTGCATGGCCTTCACTGTGGCCTTGCTGGGTCCCTTCTTCTTCTCCTTCTCCTCCTTCTCTCCTTTCTTCTTCTTCTTGTCTTTCTTCTTCTTGTCGCCCTCGGCCTCATCTGCAGACAGAGGAACACGAGCGAGTTATCAGGAAACATCAGCCAATCAAAACACATCTGAGCCCATCCTACCATCTGCTGCTGGCTCCGCCCCTTCTTGCTCCTCCGCCGCTGCTGCAGGAGGCGTGATCTGAGGGGGCGTGGCCTCTGTCGCCTTCTTCTCTGGCTCTTTTTTATCCTCCACGGCGCTCTCCTTCTCTTTGAGCTTCCTCTGCTTCATCCTCTCCTCCTCCTTCTTCTTCTTGTCCCTCTCCTTCTTCTCCGCCTTCTTCTGCGCCGCCGTCTTGATCTTGAAGCCGTCGCCTCCTCCGTCCTCCTCGTTGTCGCTCTCCACCTTGCCTTTGTTTTTCTTCTTCTGCTCTCTCCTTGTGGTGAGCTCCTCGTCATCCTCTGACTCTTCATCCTTACCATCTCCTCCTCCTCCTCCTCCTGTCACATCTTCGTCCTCCTCCTCATCGGACACTGGCGTTTTTTTGGCGCCTTTCTTTCCTCCTTTGGTTTTGACACGAGAACGTGAGCTGCTGTCGTCGTCAGAGTCCGAGGGAGGAGCAGCGGGAGGCGCCTGGAGGAGCAAAGAGAAGTTCAACCTCTCAACACGCAGGATGCAGTTTAAAAACTTCCCGTGACAGGTTTAAATCTCTCTCACCTTCTTCTTCTCTTTCTGTTCTCCGTTCTTCTCTTCATCCGCCCGACCTTCACCTTCATCACCCTGCTCCTCATCCTCGGGGCTGGCCCCTCCCTTCTTTCCCTTCCTCGTCTTCTTCTTCTCTGGTTTTGGGGGCTCGACGATCTCCACCTCCTCTGCGGCGTCTGGTTTCTGAGCAGGGAGCGAAGACGCGGTAACAAAACACGCGGACGTTAAAACTGAATTTGTTCAAATCAAACTTTTAAACCAAACTTAGAATTTACTTCAGGATCATTTTGAATTCTGAAAAATAAAATGAATCAGACGTTGATCGATGAAGATCATGTGACTCTTCCTCCTGATGTTACCTTTACTTTGCCATCCTGAGTCTCCAGAGACAACTCCTCCAACTCCTTCAGGATGTCGTCCTCGCTGCAGGAGGAGAAACGAGACCAGACTTAGAGAGAAGGAGGACACACGATGACAGTGAGGGAGAGGAGGAGGATATAATGAAGGTGTGAGGGAGGAAGACAAGGAAGGAGAAGAAGAGTAGGACACAACGGAGGTATGAGGAGGAGAGGAAGAAGAGGATGAGGAGACATGATGAAGAGCGTCATACTCGAAGTCGTCTTTCTTTGCTCCCTTCTTCTTCGTCTTCTTCCCTTTCGACTCCTTTGAGGCTCCGGCTCCTTCGATCTCAGCCGCCAGAGCGTCGATGTCGATGCCGTCATCTTTGGAACTGAACACAATGACATCATCAATCATTCCACCAATCAGCAGCTGCTGAGGAGACTCAGCTGTGACACAGGGCGAGAGACATGTCTCTCTGTCTCTCTTTGTCTCTCTCTCTCTCTCTCTCTTTGTCTCTCTCTCTGTCTGTCTTTGTCTCTTTCTCTCTCTCTCTGTCTCTCTCTCTGTCTCTCTCTCTCTCTCTTTGTCTCTCTCTCTCTCTCTCTCTTTGTCTCTCTCTCTGTCTGTCTTTGTCTCTTTCTCTCTCCCTCTGTCTCTCTCTCTGTCTCTCTCTCTCTCTCTTTGTCTCTCTCTCTCTCTGTCTGTCTGTCTCTCTTTCTGTCTCTCTGTCTGTCTTTGTCTCTTTCTCTCTCTCTCTCCCTCTGTCTCTCTTTGTCTCTCTCTCTGTCTGTCCGTCTTTGTCTCTTTCTCTCTGAACAATACGAACCAATGAAAATCTGTTGACTCTGCTCTCTCTTTATTTCCCATCAGCCCCTCTGCCTCGCTCACCAGCACGAGAAACTCCTGAACTCACTGATCGTCCTCTGACAGAAAAGTAATCAGTAACTAACCTGGTAATCCCTCAAGTTACTTGTGACACACGAGTATTAGTATTTATATATATATATATTTATATACATATGTATTTCCTCCGTGTTGGAAACACTGAACAGTTTTTATTTTATTTCCTCTGGGATCAATAAAGAATTCATCTCTCGTCTCCTGAACCTGTGATCGGTGAACTTTTTATATCGGATCAGTTTGAAGTTGACAAACTTCTGAGACATGAAAGTTTATCTTTATTTTATCTTTAGAGCAAAACATGAATCTTTCGTTTCAGTCACAAGAAGAAAAGTTCAAATAACGTCAGAGACGTGATGATTGACAGCTGATGATTGACAGCTACCTGACGAGCTCAGGGGGTGTCATTGGTCCCAGGTGAGACAGACAGGTGAGGGACAGACAGACAGGGGAGGGACAGACACACACAGACAGGTGAGGGACAGACAAAGACAAGTAAGACAGGTGTGAGGGA